TTTTTTTTTTTTTTTTTTAACCACCTTTTTTTTAATCTAAATTTATTCAAATTTTGATGAAAAGCAAGATAGATCCCCGTGCATAGATCGTAGAGAAACACTGTCATCCAAATTCACTCTGAAATAAAGTTACAGCTCAAAGTAAAGATATGAATTTAGGTCCCATTGGTCTGCATGTTAGAAGGTGAGGTCAATTATTTAGTATTTTTAAATAATCATTCTACCATCCGCAGTTTTTTTTAAGTAAAAGCAAGGAATGACTGTCAGATCATCGAAGTTCTTTAATATAATTTCGTATTTATTTATGTTTTTTATTGATAAGAAAATATGTTCAATATTTTAATTTTTTTGCTTCGTTAAAATTTATTTATGATATTAATTTTTTCACGTGAATTAGATTGGAATGTGATGATATGCACGTAATATACGACTGTAATAACGGTCGTATAGTGAAAAAGTAAAATCATTACAGTGTAGTTGACCCAAATAGTTCCAATTTCTTATTCCCAATTCATGGGTAAATGTCTTAATTTTACGATGGAATAATTTAGAGAGAGAATTTTTATTGATGATGAAGTAAGAGAGAGAGTGTAGTTGGGCACCTTTTCTGAGTCAGCGTTTTGGCATCTCTTGCTCAGCCTATTGCAATCTCCCTTTATGTAACGCTTCAACAAAAAAAAAAAAAAAAAAAATGTCATTTTGCCCCTCCAACCCAAATAGGGGTCCAAGGAAGATCCAGCCAGATTGCCTGCAAAAGAAAAAAAAAGGTTAGAGAGAGGTCGGCCGGGAAGAGTAACGGACCACCGCCGGAATTCATCTCCAGACGAGACTCGTACCAGGATTGAGGGGCTAGCAAGGCCTACGCATCATCAAAACCTAAGAACATTCCGCGGGGTAAGGTTTCTGAACGATATTGCTCAGATCTGAGTTTTCCCCTACGTGAATCGACCCTAAAATGTTGAAATCTTCACCTAGGAACAACTCACGCACGGTCTGCGAAGAAGTTTGGCCGAGACCTCAACCCAAAG